TAATGAATTTGTTACTCTCTTACCACAGCATAATGGTAAGAGAATTTTGCAAATGTATATAATCGCAGTCCAGAAGCTGCTGCAAAGTTTTTTTCAACTTTGATTGACAACCTTATCTAAAATTGATGAAAATTTTTTTATTCCGATTCTAAATGAATGCATTTAGATGGTTGGTTGTCGAGATATCCCTCAAAGTTTGAAAAAAAATCGCATTCGAATTATTAATCAGAATGCGACTGTTAAAGTAGAATCTCATTTTAGCTCACCATGGATAGGGTATTACAAAATGAATTGTATTAGTAACAAAAAAGGGTTAATAAAAAAGGATATTGATAAAAAATATTGTACCCGTTTCTTCCATTTTTTCTTTTTGATCTGTAAATTAACATTGTTTCAATACGTATATTTAACAGATACATTATGAAATATGGGTATTAATATTCCAACTTACTACTTCCAGTACTTCTTTGAGCCTACCTTTCCTACCCCAAGCCAAGTCATCAATATGTTGAAAGGACTCTTTATCACCTCGCAATGCTTTTTGTAAAGTGAGCCGACACTAAAAGTACGCATTCCAAGAGATTATATAATCAGTTAAACCACCAAAGTAGTTTAAAGTCACAAGCATACTTCTTGTGCCTCTTTCAAATGCTCGATAGTTGAAACCACTGAAGTTTCATAACGTCTAGATCTAAATTTTTCACGAATAGTAAAGTATAAATATTTCCTGTGAATATCATTGGGAAATGTTTTAGATAATCTGAGCAGCGTTTTGTAAAGGGATAAAACTGGAAATCGATGTTGGGGAAGCTGCCAAAAAGGACGTCGGGGTCGATACCGTAACCTTTGAAGTAACATTGTGATAAGAGTAAAATTTTATGATTATCATTAAATATTACTATATATAGGGGGTCCTTAAAGCCGGGTTAAAAAAAGTTACGTTTTTGATGTTTTAAGAGTTACCTTTTTGATACAGTTAAGGTTAGTAAGTTATTTATATATCAAGAATACAATTTATGCAGTATGTAGATCATTATATGAAATCTGCCCCGCTTTAAGGGACCCCTATATATATATATATTCATCTTTCATGTGATTAGTAAACTAAACCTATTAAAGTTGAGAACATAAAACGATAAGTTTATTGAAACGTTTACTTGTAGACTTCTATGTCGAACATTAAAAAAGAGGATCTTCCCGTAGTAAATATTGTTAACTATTGTTCGTTTAGCTCCTCCACTTCAGTTTTGTCTGATGCATTATGTACTTTCTTATAGTCATCAGATGTCGCTAGACAAAAACTTGAGAAGGCAGAAGCGGAACTCAAAGACTTACTGGTTCGCAAGAAACAAGTCGACAAGAGCCTGGTGAGTTTGTTTCAAAATTGGTAAAGAATCAATCTTTTTTTATACTCGCAGTTAACCAGCCGAATATTTGATTTGAACAATACAGAAAACAATTGAGAAGCATATCTGGAATTTTGAAGGATCTTACTTGGAAGAAACTCATTCAGGAGGAAATTTAATTCGTGGGTTTGACGGTTATTTAAGGGCCGCAAATGATAAAAAGAAGCGATCGGAAATTACACGTGAAGAACGATTGTTTTCTCTATCAAGGTTAATGTCTAAATTTTGATTAATAAAATCGCGTGTTTCTGAATCAATTGATCCTTTCGCTTGCGACTATGTTTTTTTTTTTTAAAAAAAAAAAAGAATCATTTGATATTGAATTATTTTTTCCAATCAAACGTGGCAGTGCGACTTCTGAGAAGGTATATATAGCCCAATATGTGTCATATCGTATGAATTCGCTTTGCGAGATTTATTAAAATTTATATTTAAATTTCGGATCAGGCCGTTGGGTTGGTTGATGACACATCATCAAGTTCAGATGATCTTAAGTCTGGCTACAATAAACAAATGGGACCTAATCTAAAAAAGAAGAGAAAACAACAAAGGCCTACTAATTATATATATCCTCAAGAAGTTAAAGAAGCAAAAGATAGGGAGGTAAGAAGGATTAGATTGTCTGTCCGAGATCGAGATGAAAAAGATACGGAAGAGGAAGTAGATATTTGATTAAGCTGTAAAATCCGAAATGATTTATATTCATAGCGTTGCTTCTGGACTGCGATTATATACATTTGCAAAATTCTCTTACCATTATGCTGTGGTAAGAGAGTAACAAATTCATTAATGTCTCATATTGGAATAATCGATTGGTATATACATGTTATGTAAAAGAAAAGAAAAGAAAAAAAAAAAACAAAAAAAAAAAACAAAAAAAATATTTATAGTTCGACTTAAACATCACAAATACGTTAATCCTGTGCTATCTTCCCCGTATATAAATTTTTTAATTTTAATTGACTCGTGACATATTTGCTGTGTCGTGATGATCACAATCACTGGTATAATTTCTGACTTATGATTGGCTGTGTAACTATCACGACCCTACGTACAATGGTTCGAGTGATATCTGATATATGGCGGAATTATGTGAATGCACTACAGGTTTTGCAAAGAGCTTGATTTTGCCGCCTCAAAATATCCTTTAATAACTTGTTTTGACCCAAGAAAAAGGAATTACTTTTTTTTTTTTTTTTTTTTTTATTACTTATTATTAACGAGTCTCACGGCATAATGTCTTCGTCCTCGTTAGACAGCTCTTTAAGTGCTTTGGGAGCTCAACCAATGTATTCCTCAGCTCAAGAAGGTGGTGACACTTTTTCTAAAGGGAAGCAGGTCAACGGAAAAGACGACTCGTCAACTAATAGTTCTATGCCTGCAGCTTCTTTACCTCAACAAGAAAACGGAAAGTTGTCTCATGCGACAACTTCAGGACCAAACCAACAATTAAGAATTTATCAAAATCATGACGATCCAACTGAAGAAGTTGACGAATCTCCTTTTATAAATCCAATTTCTTTTTTAAACACTATGCATCAAAAATTGAAAACTACCGCACCTCCAGTATATTCCTTCTCTCACGACGCAACGACTGGACAATTTTATTGTCAAGTTCATTTTTGTGGACAGACTTATCAAAATCAAACCGCAAGGCCAAAAAAACAACAGGCGAAGGAAGAAGTTGCTAGCATTGCGATGAGAGATCTTTCTCTCAGAATGTCTGATATTACAGCTTTAATTCGCACGGATTTAATCCGGGCTCATGTTGCCGCATCTCAGAAAGCTAAATTCGGTGGTGGAAAAAATCAACCTGGAAATGGAGCTATGGTGGTTCATTCTCGACAAATGTCACAACAAATAACACCGCATCCTTTAGAACTTATCCCGAAATCTGTTCAATGGTATAGAAAACAGACAGAACTTGCCAATAATGGGCAACCAAAACGACCTTGTGTCTTGTTGCTAGAATTTTGTCAAATGCATAAATTAGGACAACCTGTTTATTCTATGAGAGATGATGGTAGAGGCAATTATCTTTTTGACTGCACAATAGCTGGTAGAGTCTTTAATCCAGAGATAGCTCTCTGGCACAAGAATGATGCAAAAGACCATGTAAGCTCAATAGCCTTTAATGTTCTTTATGGTGAATGTGTTGCGAGAGAATATAGAGAAATAGAATTACGATACCATCAACCTCAGCTTCACGGTGCTATTCCGCCACCTTACGGAAATTCAATGGCTCTTTATTCAACTGCTGATGGCGGATACTTTGCAACCCCGGGAAGTCTTGTTCCGGCAAATCCTATCTATGTACAAAACAATCTTATTCCAAGTCATTCTCATTCAATTCCTAGGACTTCTTAAGATTATTGTCCAACTTATTAGAAAATAAATTTATCTTTTACATTTTGATATAGTAGTGTTTCAAAACCATATTATCATAACATTTTA